TATATATATATATATATATATATATATATATATATATATATATATATATATATGTGTGTGTGTGTGTATACATACATACATACATAACAAATATATATGTGTGTGTGTATGTGTGTGTTGGGGTGTGTGTGTGTGTTGGGGTGTGTATATACACACACACACACATACATACAGTACATACATACATACATACATACATACATACATACATACAAGTAAGAGTCTGTGTACATACACATACACAATTCAAATTAAAATGTAGATCAACCATGGGGAGGGGAATGTTGTATAGTACCCAAACTGGTTTTTCTAAGGACCCCTCCCTTTTGTCCTGCTCTGATCTTACAGGATAGGAGTGGAGAGAAATTGGAGTTTTGGTTCTTACCAAGTGTGTTTCACAAAGACACAAATACTTGGTTGTTGGGTTTGGGTTGTTTTTTTAAAAAAATCTCTGCATTTCTGTAAATCCCAGGGCAGGTATCAGATCTTCTGCAGGCAGCCGCCTTAATGTGATTTTGTATTCACTCTTCCCAAGACATTGGGGAACAGAAGGGAGGGGCCCCCAACATAATTTGCTAGGGGGTTTACTCTTCAGCTCAAGTCAAGCATTTACTGCAAGGCTGCAATTCCCTGCATTTTGGAGGGTGAGGAGGGAAGAACCCTTAGGAAGCGATCTTGGCACAGGCATCATGTCTTCTCCAAGCAACAGCCCAAATCCAAAGGTTGATTCATGGGTGTGTGGGGAAGGAATGGTGGCAGAAGTTGCTTATTTAGTTTAGAATGTGTGGCTAATAAACTTAACCTAGACCTAACTTTCCAGGAGGAGACGATTAGGTCAGGTTTGACAGGCCTGGCCACACACCAGCTTGCACCCACCTAGGATATCCAACTTTCAAGGAGAAGGGACTGCTTTTCACCTAGACCATATTGGCTCACTGCTGAGTTTCTGCCAAGTTTCAAAGACATTCATGGTTGGCCACCATAAGACTTCCCCTTGCAGCCCACCACTTTCATGGACCCCCTTGGGCAATCATTATTATGCAATCAGAGCATCAGGTAAGTAGCGGGTGAAGAAAAGGAAAATATTGGGAGGGAAGAAGAAGAAGAAGAACCCAAAATTATAAGGGCCATCCCAAAAGAGAGAGGTGCATCCAGATTTATGACTGCAGCACACATGCTTGCAACTATCCATCCAAGATCACTGGCTGGGGGAGGAGGGACCCAAACACAGCTTCACAACAGAATGGTTTGATTCGAACATTCCCACCCAGTGGTTAATAAATATAAAAAATGGAGGACCTTTAGCAGGGAACAAATGCAAAAGAACTCAAGAGCCCTTCAGACTAAGGATGCCGAGGCGCCTGCTGCTATGGGTCTGCTTCGCAGGGCAACCCCCCCCCCCAAACCAAAACCCAACAACAACCTCCAGGACTTTCTCCTAAGGAATTGCGAATTTTATTCCATACAGTTTCTTTGAAAGAAATTCTAAATGGGGGTGCATGAGATGGTCTCCCTGCGTCTGTCTTCTCCAAATTCTGAGGAGCTCTACACACACACACACACACACACACCTCTATTGATTGTCCTAAAAACAAAAAAGAAGAAACAGCAGGCTATAAGCAGTTTTCCCCCTCTGTGCCATCCATTTATCACTCATCCCCATGGGGGCTAAGAGAGTACAAGCAAACCCAAGCCTCTCTTCATTGCAATCAATTTGTTCTATCCAGTGCCCCCCCTCTCTCCCTCCCTCCCTCCCTCCCCTCAAGGAAACAAGGAGGGGGAAAAGGTGGAAGCCAAATTCAGTGCTACTGGGTGGTAAGAAATCCAGGGGAGGGGGCTTGAGGCAAGATAGGACTTAGTCCCTCTCCTCCCCCCCTCCTCTCTCTCTCTCACACACACCACGATTTACAGCTCTGCCTTATGGTCCCCCAGTTTCATTCATTCATATACAATAAGGCTGGTTCCTCGGGCGAGTGTCCTGCACCATCCTGTTGCCCATTTGGCTTTCGCAATCCAAAGAGCAGCTTGGCTGGAGGCTTAAAATTGAGCACATAACCCCCAGAATCCACACTTGGCTAGGACAAACCTGGGCAGCTTCCTTCACACACACACACACAAACAGCATCCCCCCCTCCCCACCAACCTGGCCAAATTCTCCCAACTACTTCAACGGTTTTTTTTTTTCCTAGAAAGAGATGGCTCTTTCCCCGCGGGCATTCTTGGCTCTTTCTTTGCCAAGATTTTCCGGGAGGGGCAGTCAGATGCCAAGGCGCCTTTGGTGGGAAAGCTAAGGCGGATAGCCCCGATCCTAAACCCATCCCCGCCCAGTCCCCCTTACCTCCAACTTTCCTTTTGAAGGAACAGGGAGGAAACGAAGCGCGCCTGCAGATCTGGGGCTGGTGGGTTGGTGTTGTTGTTGGGTATGGTTAGGGGTTGTTGGATTTTTTTTCTCGTTTTGCGGTTCTCCTTTCGGTTTCTTCTCGACCCTCACGTTAGGCTCTTCTCCCGCCACTGCTTATCCTGCAGCCGGGACTTTGCCTGCAGCAGGAAGAAGAGAAAGCAGAAGAAAAAGATCTCCCAGTAGAGTCTCCCCATGGCGCCAAGATTTGATTTGCAAGAAAAAGAGAGGAGGAGGAAAAAGAAGAAGAGGAGGAGGAGGAGGAAGAAGAAGAAAAGGGCGGCGGGAGGAAGAAGAAACCCAGATGCCAACGGGATGCCCAAATCCGCCAACCCAGCACACTGCGGAGGTCGCCGGGGATGGTTTGCGCCGATCCAGGCGCTTAGCCCCTCGCCTTCCTTCGGGAGCATCCCTCTCGGAGGGGCCACGAAGACGTGTCAGCGCCTCGGCTCCCTCCTCGGGCGAGGCGATGGGTGAGCCGGGGACGCTCCTCTGCCCGGGCTCGGAAGCAAACAGAGCCAAGCTCCGGGGAGCGCGCGCACGGCGGCGGCGGCGCGCGTTCTCGCTGCCAAGGCCCCTTCCCCTCTCCCGCGCGCGCTCCCTCTCCCCCTCCGAAGCGCCCGCTCGTCCATCATTGGCCCAGCTGGGCTTCGGGGAGGAGAGAGAGAGAGAGAGAGAGAGAGACCGGGGCAAGCTTTCTCCAAAGCCGAACCGGGCGCTCCAGCTGCGAGGATGGGCAGCCTTCGATCCTAAAAAAAAACCCCAGCAAGTGGGAACTGCGGAATGGCCGGGTGTTCCTTCTGTGCGTGAAAAGGATTCTCTCTCCTCGGCGCCTCCTTTCCTTCTTCCTCTTTTCTCCACTTTGCAAGAAGGGATGGAAAAAACATCCCGGTTGGTGCGGATCCCGATCCTAAAGCCGCGCAAGTGGAAAGCGCCGCGAATTCATTTGAACGGATTGAAGTCCGGCGCTTCGAGGCCCCTGTTCTCCTCCCCTCCCAACGACAAGATAAGGGATTCTTGCGAAATCCTAAACCAGGCGCAGATAGGAAGGGTTTCGTTTTGATTGATTTCACGCCTTTCCTTTAATCNCCCTCATCAGAGCCTTCCCCAGACTCCAGGACTGGCCCAGGTTCCTCCCCAACCTCCTCACTGTCCGAATCTGCTGCCAGCTCTGCTGGCTGCTGGCGAGCCACAACCATACACAAACTTTCATTGTTTTAAATGTCTGCTTCATTAAACAGATTTAACAATAATATAAAAGGAGTAACCACATTATCTAGAAAAGCGTTTGAGACTTGTTGCTGTGAGGGAGAGAGTGAACTCTCATCACACATTCCAGCTCCTACCAAGCCAACAATTCAAAAATGTGCAACAACAAGTAGATAAATGGGCATCATTTGGGTGAGTACCTTCATGGAGATGTGAAAGGAGCCCCCAATTGGACGTTGGTGATGTCATTGACAAACCCTTTCACCTCTTTGTTGCTTCAGACACAGGATTATTAGTATTAGGAGCTTAGGAGAACATCTCAATTCTACTTCTATGCAAAAACATGAATATATTACTGATTGAACCTGGGGGAGGAAAAAAAAAAGGAATTATACCTCTTTGGATTTCCGGTGCCAATCTTTGTTTTCATTCCCACTTCGCTCTTTCATCTCTTCCTCTGTGATGCCAGCTTGGTTGGTATAGGGGATGGCACGCCAGTCTCTCGGAGAGTTGGAAATGCTTGCAATCTTAGATTCGGTGGCACTGTTCTCCTCGGTTAAAGATCGTGAGGATCTCCTGGTGAACAAGCTCTTTTTCAAGGCTTTGACACGAAGGCTCTCACTGTTGCTGCCACTGGCATCCGAGCAGCACCAGTCTGGGTTATTCTCCAGTTTGCCCCTGTGGGACGAATTGTGGCATGAAAAAATCCTGGGGGAGGTGCTGTCTTCCGAGGGAATCTCACTGGTCAAGGAATTAAGATCAAGCTGGACACTCATACTCTCCGGCTGCTGGATCTTTTGGTCCAGTTTGTTGAGCTTCCCCAGGACCTGAGAAATCTCATCCCTGACCCCAGAGAGGGATTCCAATTTCTTTTCGATTTCTCCAATCCTTAGGACTAGTTTGCAAACACTGGTTTTCAGCTCGTCGTCTGTGCTGCTGATCTCCAGCCGAGACACTTTGTCTAGATTGTTGCCAGCGCTTCCGTTGGAAATTTTAGCTAAATGGTGTTCGGGGGAGCTTTCACAGTCGGATTTGTGGATCTGAGAAAGGGAGCCAGTGCTGTTATAACAAGACGATTGGATCACGCCTGTAGAGCCAGAGACGCTCAAATCATCCAGAAATCGGAAAATATCGCTAATGTCGTCGCTGACGATTTCAGAGTCGTCATCAGATTGCTTCAAGGAGTGTCTCTCGCCATACTTACTTTGGTTTGGGTGGGTCATCTCCTTGAATTTTTTGTGCTCCAGCCCTTGCCGATCGGTCTGCGTCCCAACGCTACTGGTTTTATCAATGCTTTGAAGCTGAACGGCGGTGCAGTTAATGCTTTTGTCTTTAAATTTTTTGATGGGCTCGTGCTTGTCGACTTCTAAGATGGAGGGGATGTCTTTGGATTTATGCCCATTTGATTTGACCCCGTAATTGGCCTGCATCATGGCTTGCTGTTCTTTAGAGCTGAGATACTGTTGGTGCCTCTCCGAAGCGGAAAAATTGACCGGCTGGCTCTTTGAACTTTGGTATTGGATCTTCTCTTCTGGCTGTTTCCTGTTAAAAAAGGATCTTTCAAAATCAGGGACTTCCTCCGTGTTCAAACTCCAACTCTTGACTGGCCAGGGAGTTGATTTGCTTGGCTTTCCCAACCATCGTTTCGTCTCTTGAGGACCAAGGATAGTTGTTGGGCCAAAATAGGTCGAAGCTTGGAGATCATCTAAGCTTTCATGCTTGGCTCGTCTCTTCTCCGGAATCGGGGAATAAATGGGATTCAAATACTGGTTACTGTAAGGTATTTCGAAGCTGTGGTTGAAGAAGGTCTGCTTGGTGGTTTCCTTTTGGCTTGGGGGTTCTCCGAGCTCATCGTCCCCTTTGCCTGGAGGCGACATCAAGCTGGGAGAAATGGTGATGAGGTTATGGAAGTCTTCCTTGAAGATGTTGCGCTTCTGCATACAGGACTGCATCAAAAAGGGCTCGTCGCTTGGAAGGAAGGATTCCTTCATGCCCGAGCTTGGAGGCAGTGACTCCTGGTCTGAGATGGAATCCGTGTCAATGTTCATGGGGAAGTAAGTGCTCTGCATTTCACAGGGGGGAGAATTGGCAATGGTGTACGTTGCCAAAGCTTGCAACCGATCAAGAGAAGCGGTTCGGCCTTTGACCTCTTTATTCACCCCCAGCAAAATGTTCATCTCTGAAGTGGGTACAAACGGAGGACAGTCTTTGCAATCCCCCTTCCTACATTTGGAAGCCCTCTTGCTGGAGTAACCCCTGCCGAATTCCCCGTCTTGCAGTTCGCAGTTCCCCGCGCAGTCCGCCATATTGCACGCCTCGTTGTCCGATCGGCAGGAGTCCAGCGAGTCTTTTTTCCTCACTTTCTCTCGGGTGATGGGCAGCTTCTCCTTGGCCATGCCCCCGTTCATCTGGATGAGGTTGAAGATGGTCACGATATCGGCGGCCACCATGATCTTCTTGGACTGCTGATTGTTGACGTTGCATCTCATTTTGTCCTTGAACAAAGTGGCCGGGAAATTGGGATCCAGGCAGGCCGTATAGAAAAGCACGCTCCGTAGCTTGGCCAGCTGGGACAAGTCAAATCGAGCACATAATGATTTGCAGAGGTCCTGATAGGAAACAGAGTTCTGCTTAGTATCCAGTTCCTCCAAGATGTTCACCAGGAACACAGAAGATTCTTGATGGGCCTCCATGGTAGGTAGGAAAGGCTGCAGTTCACCTTTAAGGTTTTTGCTCCGGTTCTCTGCTAATTTATAAAACAAAACAAAAACACAGTTATCACAAGTCATTGCATCTCAATGATCTACTAGTGGCTGATGAAGAGAGGGTGTTGCAGGTATAAAAACTGCAGTACCCCTTCCAAACTATTCAAAGTTTGTCTTTTAGCAGGAAGGGGTTCTGAAGGATGATTAGGCAAACAGAATAGAATTTACCATGTTCTATGTCTCTTCTGAAGAGTTTAGAGTAATATCTATAGCTCTCCCTTTCTCCCTCCCTCCCTTCCTCCCTCCATCTATCCATCCCTTCATCTCTCTTTATCCATCCATCCATCCATCCATCCATCTATCATCTCCCAGAATGTATCCTTGTACACAGGGATCACAAGCACAAGGCTAAAGGTAAAGGTAAAGGTTCCCCTTGCACATATGTGCTAGTCATTCCTGACTCTAGGGGACACTGCTCATCTCCGTTTCAAAGCTGAAGAGCCAGCACTGTCTGAAGATGTCTCCATGGTCATGTGGCTGGCATGACTAAATACCAAAGACACATGAGACGCTATTACCTTCCCACCAAAGGTGATTACTATTTTTCTACTTGCATTTTTATGTGCTTTCGAACTAAGTTGGCAGAAGCTGGGACAAGTAACAGAAGATCACACCGTTACGCAGTGCTAGGGATTCGAACTGCTGATCTTTCTGATCGACAAGCTCAGAGTCTTAGCCACTGAGCCATCGCGTCCCTTCACAAGGCTACCACATCATTTTTTTTAATTTAAACAATTCTTTGAGCATGGCTGCTAGCAAGGCCAGAGCTAGGGGGTCTCTTTCACTCAAGGTCGTCTTAATGACCCCCCTTTCCAAGAGGTAGAACTCAACTCAAGGACCTGTCTTCTGACAAATCGGTCTTTTGTTAATAGACACAATCTATTACGGTAGCCATTTTGTGATTGTTTTTTCCCCTCTCAAATTACTCCTAATCTCTTATTGGGCCAGGCTACAAATTTATGTAAATTCATCATTTCAACCCTCCAAATATGTCCTGTTGATTATCTCCCGGATTCCCCACCAGGAAATAATAAATAAAACAACTGTGCTATCATTAATTAAGAGGGCTGCAAAAAAATCCAGACCACTAGATGGCAGATGAGAAACACAGAAAGCCAGCTCTTTGCTGCCACCTAGGTGCCGTCTCAGTTTAGGCAGCCCAGATATGGTACCCCCCCCCCCAGGGTTAAGCATGAATCACATATCACTTTGCAAGGTTTATATTCACAAGGACATTAATTTTGCTTGCAGTTACCCTTTGAAAGAGAAAAAGAAACTAAAACACATATCGAACTCCACTTCCAAAATAAAAAAGACCAAGCAATATTTGGTCAATATTCCAATTACAGAATTAAAGATTAATGGAAACAATTGCAGAATTGCAAAGTATTGTAGGGAGTTAGCACCTATCCTTCTTCTAAAAAATGAAATATTTTGGGAAATATTGAAAAGACAGAATATTATATTTCTCTGGATGAGAAAAGGAGAAACATGTTTAAAGACAAAACAGCCCCCTGCCCCCCCACCTTTGTCAATGGGCCATTAAGGCCTGAGCCAATCTATTCTACATAACAAAAGANAAGGGGAAAGGAAAAGAGGGAGGGAGAGAGGAAGGAATAGCAATAGCACTTAGACTTATATACCGCTTTACAGCCCTCTCTAAGTGGTTTCCAGAAAGAAAATAAGAGAGGAAGGAAGGAAGGAAAGAAGGAAGGAAGGAAGGAAAGGAGGGAGGGAGGAATAGCAATAGCACTTAGACTTATATACTGCTTTACAGCCTTCTCTAAGCGGTTTACAGAAAGGGAATAAGAGAGGTAAGGAAGGAAAGGAGAACGGAAAGGAAAGGAGGGAGGGAGGAAGGAATAACAATAGCACTTAGAGTTATGTACCACTTTACAGCCTTCTCTAAGCGATTTAAAGTCAGTATCTTGCCCCCAACAATCTGGATCCTCATTTTACTGACCTCAGAAGGATGGAAGGCTGAGTCAACCTTGAGCCAATGAGAATCGAACTGCTGGCAGTAGGCAGAGTTAGCCTGCAATAGGAATAGGACTTAGACTTATTTACCGCTTCATTCTGCTTTACAGCCCTCACTAAGCGGTTTACAGAGTCAGCATATTGCCCCCAACAATCTCGTTTTACCGACCTCGAAAGGATGGATGGTTGAGTCAACCTTGAGCCCGTCGGAATCGAACTCCAGACGATGGGCAGAATTAGCTTGGGATACTGCATTCTAACCACTGCGCCATCAGGACTCTGGGTTCACAGACTGGATTCATACACTTTGCCAAGCCATGTTTCCTTGATGAAGCCACAATTGTGTGGGCTCATACAACATGCTCATGATTTGCATTTCAATGTTTGTGTCCAAGCATCATGTTTAGTCAAAATCAGACAAAGCACATGTACAGTTAGCGCACACATGACCCCAAGCAGTTCAGTTTGGAAAAGATCTCACAGGTCATCTTTAATGTACCATTCCAGTGTTGATTGCCAAACTAGATAATTCATATTCAGGAATATTGGGAATTCAATAATTAGGTTGGATTATCCACACTGGATGGCAGTGTTATAAAGCCCAACAACTCTGGAAGATGATTCATCACAGAATAAAATAAAATGTAAATGAGTGGCGCGGTGGCCTAGAGGTTGAGCTCTCGGCTCACAATCAGGAGGCTGTGAGTTCAATCCTATGTAGAGGCAGTTATTTCTCTCTCTGGGCACAATGAGAATATATCTGCTAGACAAAACTCTGCATTGGAGACAGGAAGAGCATCCGGCCAGTCTCCTAGTTCCATTCAGTTGCCCAGACGCCACCCGGCAAGGATTATTAAAAGAGGATGAATAAAATAAAATGTAAAGATATGTTTTCCTTTCTTGCCAGTTCTTTTGTCTTGTTTATTACACCTTAACCAAGCCTTATATTCCCACAGAAATATGCAGAATCAGGCCTGTCTATGATAACAACTGCTAGAACATGTTAAACTTACTGAAATTATGCATCATTCTTTCTTGAGAAGAATGAAAACTGTGGTATGAGAGTTTGGATCCATGTCAGCAATAAGCTCTCATCAGTCTGATACTGTAATATAATGTGGCAACAGGTTTTGTGGATTATAATCTTGCACATTGATTTGAATCACACCTAAACTCAGGTTCTTTTTGACATAGACTTTAAAATATTAACCTTCTGGCAAACATTTGTTTGATTTGTTATCCTACGGCTAGACTTTCTCAGATCCCAGAGAAATTTCTAATTTATTCTGCCTGGTGTTTTGTTTTAGTTTTTTTTAATCAAACTGGCTGCCTTTGTTAATTACTGAATATTGATTTTCATAATGGATTTAAAGTCAAGGTTGATGTAAGATCAGTTTCACACGCAGTACTAATGTAATGCTGCTTCGAAAATTCTCAGTCAATTTTACGCAGCTTTACAAATTCTTTCTTTCCTAGCTTTGCTTCTTTTTTTTTAAACAAGAAGGGAAAAAAGAAAACTCTTCCCCTTTTGTCTTCCTATTTTGTCTTGTTTCTTGGGACATTTCTGCAAGGATTTGAAGGATTTACAATATTTTCTTCTCTGGGCTGAACATCTCCAATTATCTTCAACTTTCCCTGCAGGACTTTCTCTGAGGGTAAGCAGGAACTGTGTTCTGACACCTACCGTATTTTTAGGAGTGTAAGACGCACCAAGATTTTGAAGAGGCAAATAAAAAAAAAATCGTTTTTGCACTCTGCAGACCTCCCAAAAATGTGCTGTTTTTTGTAAAAAAAAAAAAAAAAAGGCATGCATAGCTTTT